TATCAGTCGATACTCTGCTTACCAGAACTATTGATTAAGTAAGTCCTTTGGCTCTGCTTGCCTAGTGAGCTGTGCTTTCATCGGCATCATTTTGCATTTTCCATAATGTGAACTCCAAAAGTGACATTAACAGAACAATGTGTGTGGGCAGCAGCATGCAAAAAACAGTTAGCCACACACACACACACACACACACGCACACGCATACACACCTTCAGATGCACACCTGGTTTTGGGGCACAAAAAGTGATACTTAATAATTTTAATTTCCTGTGCTCCGTTGAATGCTTCATAAATTTCATGATGAGCCAAGCAGAACACGCTTGCCTTTAGCGATGCTACGATGCTGCTGCGTGCAGCTTCAACCAGTCCACTCCCACCCAATTTCGTATTAATATGGCCGTCAAACCAATCAACCACCCACCCAACCAGCCAACCAGCTGTGCCACCTGATCCACCTAGTTATCCGTTACGTCTGCTCACTCGGGCGACGCACAAAAGCGCGCTTCACTTATTTCAATCAAATTACGGCCAATGAATATTGAACTATCGCACACACACGCACACACACACATACACACACAGTTACGGGAGACACAACGAAATGTGCAGCGCAAGCTGAAAATAGTTCTGGAATATTTGTTACAATTTTTTTTGTTAAATCCCCAACCTCATATATATCTATAGGCATTACTATATACGTATATATATATATATATATATATATATATATATATATATATCATGTTAACGGTTTGACAATTTGTACGCGCTGTGCAAAAAAAAAAAAAAAAAAAAAAAAAAAAAACAGAAATATCGCTGGGGTTAAATCAACCTACTGGAAATACGTAATGGAAACGGCGCAAGTGATTTGACCATCGACTGCAGCAAAAAAAAAATAAAATAAAATAAAAATAAAAACACAGCGACAGCAACTAAAAACAAAAAAAAAAAAAAAAAAAAATAGTGCTGTCCAAAAATCCATTAAAAGTTTTGTCAATTTTACAACATTTTGCTCCTTTTCTTTTTTGGCTCTGTTTTTATTTATTTATTTATATATATATTTTTTTTATTTGAGTTTTTTTTTTGTTTATTTGTTGGCATTTTTAGCATTTTAAATCAATCAGGATATTACTTTAAGCAGGGATTCTATATATGCACTTTTTATGGAATTTTAATGTGTTTTCCATATATAATTGTAAATTTTTATTGGTTTCCTCTAAAATACTCGAAAGGTCGCCATTGAAATAATTTGCAAATTTATTGAAAATAAAAACGTATACATGCGCCAGAGCACAAATTTGTAAAAACGTAATCTGCATAAATTTAAAAGCACATTATTGTTAAAATATATTATGCCAGGTTATCTGTGTGTTTCTTTTGTGGATCTATGAATGAACTTGCATAGACTTGTCTCAGGCTGGTAGTACCATGAAGAGCCTAGATTATCTATTGCTGAGTTTGTGAAGTTAAGCATTGGGATTTAAGATATTTTCAATCTATGGTCTCAGCGTTCGTCTCTTACATAGTCTTAGCTTATGGCTGAGATTGTAAGGGTCTGAGTGCTTCTACCTATTTTTAAAATTCAAACATGGGCCTTGTATATTTCATTTGAAATGCTCCAAGCAGCTAAAAAAAAAAAAAAAAATTGGCATCATAATCATGAATGGATATTTATGAATTTATACAACAAATTCAGAAAACTCTTTGAGCTTGCCTCATGTGGAGTTTAATTTAAATATAAATATAAATTGCAATATATTGTATAAAAAAATACATATGAAAAACTCTAGTAATAATTCCGAACTGAAATTTCTCATAAAGAACTAATTTCATTACACGAAATTCATATTATTATAAAAAAAAAAAAAATTAAAGTTTAAGCTTTATTAAAGTAACAGAAATGAAACTTGCAACAATATAGTGTATGCACTTTGTATAGAATTAAAACATTTTATATCATTTAAGTTAATTAATTAAAAGCTGCAAAAAATATAAATAAATAAATAAAAGTGAATATTAAAAATGCAAAGACTTGAATTTAAAGCGATTAAAATGCGGCTAACCCTGTTAAGTGGATGCGCGGCAAGTGCCAAATTGTCCAGCACACACACACACACATATACACACATTTGGCAGAAGTTGCTTCATTAGGATGCATAAACTGAAAAACAAATAGCGTTGAGGTTGCATCCCCTCCTTTATTTTTTGTATATTTTCTAATGTAATGAAATAAGTTCAACAGGATCTCTGGCATGCAGGCGCTGAAGAAGCCGCCCTTGTCCGGTGCTGCAAATGCACATGTGTGTGTGTGTGTGTGGGTATGAGTGTGTGTGGTGGATGCGCCTGCAGCAAATTGGTGGCTCTAATTTTACTCGCAGCCAGCTCTCATTAAATTTTCATAGTTTTCCAAACGCGCCCGAATCCGAAAATGATAATTAAAATGCGCCCCAGCCTCCAGCTAAAGCCGGACCAGTTCTGTATGTGTATGTGTTGTGTATGTGTGTGGCATGAATTATGCGCAAGCACACACTTAACACCCAAACGACCCGACTCACAACGTGGCATCCTGCTGCTGCTGCTTCTGCTGCTGGTGCAGTTGAAAAGTTGGTGCGGGCGGCGATGGGCGGCTCAGCGCTTGAATGGGCGTGGCAGCAACTCATAAATGCTGTGCAGGCGAGCAAAAAGGATTCACACAGGATGCCAGAAGGACATCAGGCAGTAACGGCAGCCGGAGTACGTGCGCTAGCTCGCACGGGTCAGGATTCAGGCATCAGGCATCAGGCATCAGGCTGCATGGCAAACTCTGCTGGCTGTCTCAACTTACGGCAACGTCTGTGTTGCTGGCATCTACTTCATGCATGCATAAGAAAGCAGCTTCTTAAGCGAGCGTCACGCCCTCTGACCCTGCCACACGCCCACACACACATCTGGGTGTGCGCTTGCCGTAGGTAAAAACTGCAAACGTTCAACGTTAAGCGTTGCGTATACGTAATATTTACAATGCCAACTCCCTAAGAGGAACCTGTCTAATGGCCAATTGATTATCATTTATCTTAAGGAATTCTATTTTTGTTAAGCTGTTCATTTATATCTGTATATCTCTAGATGATATGTATGACTGCTCGCTCTGCCTACTTTCGTTCCAGGTCCTATCATGCGTATACGTAATATTTCAGTCGAGATATATTAAATCCAATATCTTAGCTAATTGATTAAGTTCATAATCATTTCTTGCTTGATATTTTTGTTCACATTATAATATTTTTGCTTCTCTTATTTTGCTTCACTTACACACTTAACAAGGTAGATGTTCCAGGAAACATTGCGTATACGCAATATGTGTTAGGGTAAAGCAATTTTTCTGAGAATTATGATTGATTGGCCTCAAATTGGACTAATAATTCGTATGCCCTTTTTTCAGTATCTCAATCTGTTATCCTTGTTACAAGCAGTTAACCTTGTGATTTGCTTATACGATAGATAGATCCCTCACTCCTCCACTCAATATGTTGGCTTCTGCTGAATCAGATTGTTGCAGCTCCTTTTGCTTTATATTTCTGTTTCTATTTCTACTTCGATTCATTTTCATCTTTTACATTCGCATTTACTGTTTCATATTTCTCTGCTGTTTTCTACTCCCGTATGCATGCATTTTTGTTTTGTATTTCTATCAAGATAATGTTTGTCATTTAGCAGAGTTTACTGTATAAGCGAGCATTTGAGCTTTGCGTGTGGAGTCATGTGCGTGTGTGTGTGTGTGTGCGAGTGTGTGGCCAGGTGATGTGATTTATTGCATTGTGGTAACTTTTAGGTATCGCTCTGCCACGGTCTATGCGTATGTGTGTCTGTGTGTGTGTGTGTGAGTGGCGTGTGGTGCGTGGTGCGCTCTTTTTCGCTTAAGAGACAAACCGCTAATTTGTTATCATTTATCACCATGCTGAGACGCGCGCGGGCTTCTGTGACCGTGTGTGCTTGTGTGTGTGCGGTTGTGTGTGTGTAAACAATTTGTAAATGTGTTACATTTAAACCCTAAAGTAAAGTCTGCTCTGCTGCCCTTTGCCCCTTTCCCCTTTGTCAACCAGCTTCGTTTGCCTGATTTTGTCATTGTGATAAATTCTTTGACGTTAACGTAACGTGAGATTTAAGCGTGCGTGAATGTGTGTGTGTGTGTGTGTGTGTGCGTGTGTCTGCGTGCGTGTGTGTATTTGCGCACATGTTAGCTTAAATAATGAAAAGGGACCAAGGATTTCGTCCAGCCGCTAAATAATGACAGCCGAGCGTACGGCTAAAGAGATAAACATTTTTTATGAATCGTATTTCATCTGTGACTCACAGCTGAACAAAGTAAAATTAGAAAGAGCAGCTTAATGCAGCATGGCACAGGTTAAATACACTTGCGCACATGTCGCTTGAAAGAGGATTCCCGTTTTGATGTGGCTTCTGTAAGCCGAATCATTCACAAAGGCTGAGCCAAAGCCTTGAAGAACAAAGCAAAGCTGCTTGCTTCAAATTTGCTAATATTTGATATGGTCTTTGACTCATCAGATCTTAACGACGTCTTATACAGTTATATAATTGAAATAGCTTTGTTATACTTTTTTGAAGCGCGAAGCGAATCGTCGACAACCAAAGCTCCGATTACCCACATTTCCTATGCCATTCGCTTTCCTACTTCTCTTCTACTACCTTTTATACTCATTTTTCTTTCACATTATTCCTTAGCCGAACCTTGTTCTTTTTTCTATATATACACCTATTATAAGGCCTCTACTCACCCATGACAAAAAATAGTATTAATAATACTAATTTCACTCGATTCATTGAGTTCACATTGACTTTTCCATTTGACTTTGACACACAAGGATTTTTCCGTTAGTTCAAGTTTTCAATTCAATGTATATAGAACATATTAGACTCTCATACTTCAAAACAACAATACAAACTGCAGTAAAAGCACTCGTCAATTGCTCGACATTTCCAAATTGACCCACACAAATATGTCTAGAAACTCGCTGCTGGCTTTGACCGCGGGCACTGCCGGTGCTATTCTACTTGGCTATTGTATTTATTACGATCGAAAGCGCCGTTCCGATCCCAATTATAAGCGGAAGGTGCATGAGCGTCGCCAGAAGGTCAACACACTGCCGTTCGCCTACAATGCGACCCACCGGCTCAACCTTTCCGAGCTCAACGATCACGAGATGGTGCAGCATTATTTCCAAAACGAGATCAAGGTGGCCGAAGATCTATTCAGGCAGGCCAAATTGGACATGGGCCTCGTTCACCTGGCCAATGCCATCATGGTCTGTGCCCAGCCCGTCGCCCTGCTTGAGGCCATGAAGGTGGCCCTGCCAGAGCGCATCTTTAATATGCTGCTGACCAAGCTGCCCGAGTTGCAGCTACCCGAACCCTTACCAGAGACCACAGAAATAGATCTTCCACTCGATTGAAGCTCGCATCCACCAACGCTGTTGCCTATTTGTAATCTGCTTGTAAATGCAAAAAAAAAAAAAACAAAACAAAACAAAACAAAAATGGAAAACTCTTAGAAAGCTGTAAAAGTTCTCTCTTTGCAGCTGTTGAAAGTCACAAGGAAGATTGTGTAAGAGGGTTTCGAATAGGGCATGTCCAGAGAAATCGGGAAAAAGAATGAAAAAAGGAAAAACAAAAATAGATTCGCTACAGAGACGTAGATATGTATATGAAACAAAAATATTTTAATAAAACTCTGTCGATCGACTGGTTTTTTAAATAAAAGCTAATGTTTTTTCTTTAATCGGTACTGGCCGAAAACAACTGAAGAATGTTGATATAGTTGTTTTTTGTCGGAATATAAGTATAAGATATATGTATATGCAATTGAAGATTGAAATTCAGAGTATTATACATACTTATGTACTTCTATGCTCTTGCAACTTCGAGTGGCAGAACGCTCTGATATGCTTGCTCTACTCGCACAACTCTATTCGCCTCTTTTACACACAATAATTTTACTCAAATACCTACTTATATATACAAATATATTTGTACATACATATATGTATAAACATATGTATGCATGTTCGTTGATCGCCTTTAACATTTTATAACTGTACTTTTCAGTCTGCCAATGAAATTGCAGCGAGCCTGAGCAAAGAGCCATAAGCAGCTATCTCGCTCTCACCAAGCAATACACGACACTACGATCTGCTACAGCTGTCTGTGTCTCTCTCACACTCTCACTCTCTCAGTGAAGAATGAGAAGCAAGCAACAAGTTACACTTCACAAATACTACTGAATTAGTGTGACAAGATAGAACAGAATTAGAGATAGGGAGAGAGATAGGGAGAGAGAGAGAGAGAGAGAGAGAGAGAGAGAGAGAGAGAGAAAACGGGTTACAAGGAAAAGATGCTCTGCTGTTAGTGTTAATATGCGATACCACAAATATACGTGTATTTACGATACATATGGTATATCTATCTAAAATAAAATAATTCCACATTGATTATATGTACTGGTTCATATATTTTCAATCTCTTCTGTGACTAGATAACAAAAATCGCACGGCTTTTATGCAAGACACTTTGACAATTTGGCTAAAGATCTAACATATATACATAAATATATATATAGGAATATATACATACGTATATATTCATGCAGACATACATATACACATACATATATATTGATATATATATATAGTCATATAAATTAAGCTTCTATGCTTCCCCTTTCGGTATCGGAGCCATTTTGGCTGAAGTCTGGATAGCTGGACGAGTCCTCCTTGTTGGAGCTGGATGTGGAGGTGCCCTCATAGCTCTGCAGCTCATGCAGTTTCATGATCAACGGCATGAAGACACGATCCGGCAGCGATTCCTTCAACGTGTGCAACACTGGCGTCGGCTGGGCGCACATCATGATTGCATTGGCCAAATGGCTGAGGCCATCGGATATGTTGCCCTGGGTAATCAGCACCTCCCCCACCTTGATCTCGTCGAGAAAGCAGCGCTCCAGTGTCATATAAGCACTGCTATCGCACATGAAATCGCTCAGCGCCCACTCGCTGTCTCTGATCAGGCGATACTTCAACATTTCGATCTCATCCCGTTGACGGCGCTCGTGCACCTTCCGTCTGTAGGCCGGGTCAAGGCGACGCTTTCTATCATAGTACATACAATAGGCCAGGATAATGGCACTGGCGGTGCCCACAGTGAATACCAGCAGGCATGCGACCGACATTTTCAATCGAACTACAATTTTGGCTTAAGAATTTTGAGCAGGAATTTCGCTTATTATCAATGAAAACAATAAAAAAAAAAAATTCTAATTTAATCAATTAATTTAAAAACTTTTAATAACCTTCCTTTGGGCTGTTTGATTTCTTTACTTTTTTTCTTCTTTTTTTTTTTTTTTTTTAATTTAATATTTTATTTTTATTTTTATTTTATTTTTTTTAGGAGCCCTGCGTTCTACTTTTACTGTGTTGACCAAAGGTAAAATGAAAGAATACTGAGAGCGTTCGATATTGACGTGTCTGTCGCAAATGATGTTTAAGGCAAAGCTATCGAGCATTAGTTTTCTGTTGCTCGAGATATATGTAGTAGATCTACAACTCATATCAGCTATGTGAAAATCTTTGATCCTATAATCAGCATCAAAGCATGGTCTATAGACAGTCCGAGAATATCTTTTTTTCTTAAGTCTAAAAGTTATACTGTCCTAGATTTGTACACGATTTTCACCCCACTCTCAAAGTCTAAAAGCCTAATATTCTATTATCAGGGACCGTAAAGATTATAAGTTTTATAACAAAAATTAAAAAATAAAAAGAAAATAAAATTAATAAAATAAAATTATTTTTTGAGTAATTAAAAAAAAATTTTATAAATTTTAAAATTAACTTTTATGGTAAAAATAAAAATTAATTAATATAATAAAAATTAAAAATAGATTATGATTTGATTTTTATATAAAAATTGCTCTGTAATAATTTATTTTTTTTTTTTTTATCATAAAATTGATTTTAATAATTACAAATAATTTTTTAATAAAAAATTGCAAATAAAAGTTTATCTTTTTTTTTTTAATTGTACAAGCTAAAGAAATTTATTTTACAAGATATTTTTGCACTTTGTGTAACTAAAAGATTATAAATACAAATACTATATAAAATAAAATATTCTTACTAACATACTCAAACATTTTCTCGTTTTCTTCTCACTTTCAGGTAATTAACTCACTACAACCGCAACTCTGGAACTGGCTCACCTGAACTACTCAAGCCTGGACAGTCCCACTCAATTTGTTTCTAACTCTCGTTCTTTAGTATTCCCAGTGCAAACATTTTAAAGAAAAGGTCCTATTCGTAGGAGCTTTAATGAAATTGTGTAGCCTGAACAAAAAAACAATGGCGCTGAGTGTGTTTGTTTATGTGTGGGCGTGGCACACTGTAAGCCCAAATGAGCATATGCATATTTCATAAGACCTTTCCTGTTTTTTTTTTTTTTTTTTTTTTTTTTTTTTGCTTCTGCTTCTCGAGTTATGTTAAAATTTTTACTACTACTCCGTTTGGCCGCTGGCCCATAAAACAAAAAAGAAGTGGGAAAGGGCAGGGAATGGAAAGGAGCGGAGAGATGAAAACTTAAGAAACTGCAAATATTGTTGCCAACTGTATGAGCAAGAAGAAGCGACTAAAGAAAACACACACAAAAGGAGCGCAGTGGAAAAATGCGCAACGGAAAGAAAACAACAAAAAATAAAAAAAATAATAAAAAAATTTGTGATGCGGCCATAACGAAATTTTGCTGCCGCCATTTCCGTTTTGAAATTTCCTTTTCTTACCGTAATTTGTCGGTGATTCATTTGCTCTGCTTCACATTTATTTCTGCCTTCATTTGCCTTTCGCATAGCCCAGCCAACTGACACGCCTCTGTTGCCAGCTTCAGCTACTCGTAGTGTTTGCTTCTTCTATTAAATGCTTCTCTTCTCTCAGTTTGTTTGTTTTTTGTTTTTTTTTTTTTTTTTTTTTTTTTTTCATCGTAGTGCCACTTGTCATAGCCCCAGAGCGACATTAAGTGCAAACACGAAAGAAAACTATGAGATCAGGCAGTGCTGCGATACCCTCTGACATTTGTTCAGCATTCTTTTGTCTACGCGTTTGTTGCACTTCCGAAGACAGTGCAAGCACCACTTCTCTACAGATATAAATAGATCGAGTGGGCTCATGAGGGTATTTGATTCATGATAATTAACTAATTTGGAACCGGTTCACTTTAAATGTGAGATTTTCTTACTTAGAGATATTCCAAGCTTAGCATATCGATATATACATATATTATTATCAGCATACCGTGTATATAAATATTTTTAACAAAAAGGCTTTGAAACTAGTTCATGAACTCTTAACAGTGATTGCCATATTGGCGCACTGTTTACAATATTTTTAGCTTTTTATTGATCCAGTTTATGAAGTGAAGGCAACGTAATATATGTATATGTTGTTCTGCTATATCTGTTCATATTAAGAACAATTTTAAGTATCACATTCTCAAATTATTAAAAAAAAATTTTAAACCAGTATTTGAACTGAGAGAGAGAGAGATACTGAGTCATTTATATACTATGCTACTTGGTAAAGAGAGAGAGGAGAGAGGAGAGAGGGAGAGAGAGAGAGAGAGAGGAGAGAGAGAGAGAGAGCTATTACATTACAATTTATTTAAGGAAGTGTATTTTGAACTAGTTCATGAACACAGTCATTAACATATTAGAGCTGCTGCATTAGAGCTCATTTCATCTCATTTCAAGGCCAAAAGCTATCCGCTAATAACATTCAGCTCTCTGTTTTCTCTTTTGATCCAGTTCACAGCACAAAGAAGGCAACAAAGTTCATTACGTTCTGCGTATGATTGCAATTGCGATAGCGACTGCCGCAGTTTTGCCTCTTTCTCCTCTCTTCATCAATCCATTTCATTGCGCGTAGAACGCCTGCTCGAGCTGTCACAGTGATACACTTTGGAACTGGTTCAGCGAACTCAGTGCATGCAATTATCCTGGTACACATATCCTTGAGCCCTTTCGCACTTTAGCTGCTTGTTTGGTCCGCCCTCATTCGAATTCTGTGTTCCAATTCATTCCATTTCGTTTCATTTCATTTTATTTTCATAGTGCACACAAATTTCGCGTGCTTTTAATTTTGTTGTTCAAATTTGTTTCCTTATTTTTTCTTCCTCTATCCTTTCAGTATTTTTTTTTTTTTTTTCATTTTTTGTTTTTTGTTGCTTTGTAGTTTGTTCTTGTAACCCGCATGCGACGATTCAGGCGTTAAACAAGCGTTGACAACAACAACAACAACAGCAGCGTGCACTGAGGTGTGTTTGCACCCGCACGTGTGTGTGTGTGGGTGTATGTGTGTGTGTGCAAATAGCATAAAAACGTAGCGTATGAGTGATACAAGTGTAAATTTGTTGAAGTGCTCGGATGGGGACAAAGTACAAAAAAGATACACTTGCTGAAAAAATGCATGTGTGAGCAAAGGATGTGCTGCACTAGGAAATACTCTGTAATAGCTAAGCAGGTCCTTAAATGTGGTTGATCTATGAAAGAGCGAGGATATCAAATTATTTTGTATTTAGCAATGAAAGAAAATGAATTCGAGTTCATTTAGATGAGTAGAAATCTTGGTCCACCTTTTTAGCGTTATTGGTTGAATTGCATCCACGTTAATATAGTCTGATCATATAGGCATAAGATATACTCACAAGCTCAGGCCTTACTTTCGGTAAAAGATATTCCACTATGCACAAACTTTACTCAATCCAAATTACAAAAATTTACGTATTTCTACTAGGAATCTAGCTCTTAAATAGAATTTGTATTCAGATTCTCAAATGTGAGCCGATTATTATGCTAAACAATCTTAGTTCGTTTCTTCTCTTTTACTCTTGAGACTGTCGACTATCAACATCGTACTATCCTCGTCTATCGATGTTATTTACTGAGCTATTCTTAACTCTTGATCTTAAATAACTATCGTTACTATCGACTGTTGTTAAACAACTATCGTCACAGTTTTTAAACAACTATCGTTACTACTAATAAATAATTATCAATAGTAGATTAATTTTCCATTAAAATGCCACGCCCCTTCACCAACTCCACCCAGCTCCAACCACTGCAAGCAGAGTAAGCGTTTGTCTGCCTTTAGCCAACTCAACAGGGTATAACAAAACGTGAACAGTAACAATTGTGCACAGCTATAAGCATACCTAATGTGTGTCATTTGTGTGTGTGTGTGCCATCTGTGTATGTGTGTGTGTGTGCGCGCGCAGTGCACGTGTGAGCGGACGCCGAGTGCAACTCATGTATTTATGAAGTGTCAACAGCTTCGTCATGATACATGGGACCTTAAGCTATCTGCCCGCACACACAGCTCAACGGCTCATCCATGTGTATGCTCTCTATGTATATGTATGGGTGTGTGTGTGTGTGTATTTCCTTCTTTTTTGTTGTTGTCGGTTGACAACAGAATTTGTGCGGTTCTGACACTTGAGGGCAGCTTAATAGGTTTTTTTTTATTCTTTATCATAGCTGCGACTGTTGCACTTTGTGTGTCTTAAACTGTCAGCTGCAGCTAATTAGTTGCCAAAAGCAAGAGTGTTACAGGGTATCCGGTAGTGCAAGCTGTTGACTGTGTTAAGGTCTTCAACAAAGATTTAGCTAATTAAGCGGTACAACTGAACGAGGTTTAACTAAGGGGTAGATGGTATTCCTTTAGGTCTTCACTGACTTGAGTGAAGAAGTGAAAAAGTGTGGAAAGGAAGGAGAGGAAAAAGAAGCTCTGAGCTAGAAAATATAAAATAAAACATTTGCTAAATATTAAAGCCAAATAAAGAGCAGAATTTTAGATAGAACAACAGGGATGATTGGTGAAAAATGCGCGACTCCCCTGCTGGTAGCGTAATAATAACACGGAAGACAGAAGATAGCTACCCAAACTAAACTATGTCTAAAGGAAGGTCTTCATTTAATTAACTTTACCACAACCAGGGGGACAAGTGCTGGCACAAAATGCATTAAGTCAAGTCAAAGTAATGCCAGCCATAAAAATAACTGTGAGCATGGCAAGCAACTAAGACTGGAGGTTAAGTGGACATGTTAAGCCAAGTGAGGCTTTAAGGGGCTTATTAGCCGCCTTGACCCACTCAAAGGGCAAACGCTGGTGCAGAGCCAACCACAAGGAC